CTTCATTTCGTCTTAAGACACACCGTCCGCCAATCTATAACCCACTTCATTAAGTCTTGTTTAACTACCTTTCCTCATATAAGTTTCGATCTACCTCTACCTTTCTTTATGTCGAGTTCTTGGTAACAAATTTTTGTTCTTACGGGAGCATCTAGGGGTCGTCTCGTTACGTGCCCAAACCACATCAATTTATGTTCCCTCATCTTTTCAATCATCGGTACTACTCTTAACTTTCGTCAAATATATTTATTTCTTATTTTATCTATTCTCATACAATCACATATTTATCTTAACATCCTTGTTTTTACTACTCTCATTTTATATTCACATTACTTATATGCCGAACAATATTCAACTCCATATAAGATTGGAGGACTTACTGGCGGAGCCAGGTATATCTTGGGTGTGGCATCGGCCCGGGCTAAATTTTAACAAATTATACTTATTATATGTAATTATATAATTAATTATAATTTGGCCCGGGTTAAAATTATAATTTGGCCCGGGCTACAATTTGTATTTTGGCCCTATCTAAAACTTAAGATATTTTTTGTTAGATATTTGGATAAGTTGTAATAGGTTATCTGTTCAATTTCCACTTGTATAAAAAAAATATTTAATAAAATTATAATTCTCCTTGGTACTGCCTGCTCAGGTGCTCTATATTTAATATAATTTAAATATGGAGGGTTATATTTATAAAATTTTTGTTTATAAACTCTTACAAACTACACCATATACTCCCGGAAGCACACTAGGTAACACTATGTACTTCCAGGAGTATATAGTATAATTTACAAAAATTTATAAAAAAAATTTATAAACGAATTATTCCCCAATTGAAATATATTATGATATGAACTAACTAAAGTTAAAAAAAAAAATACACATAAATTTTTTTGGCCCGGGCTCAAGTTTGAGCCCGGCTCCGCCACTGTACTGAAGGACTATAGAATTTGGCTATCTTAAGTGGAGTTGAATTTGGTTTGTTCGGTGTTCTCGTTGAAACACGCAGGCGTACTCCTTGCTTTTGGGGACATTGGTCTGAAGCTCGAGTACGGTCCATGCGCCGTTTTTCTTCTCTAACATGATGAATCAATTGATGTAAGGGTTTCAATTTTCTCATTTGGTAGGAGAAAATTTTCTCATGTTGTAAACACATTTTATGTGAGATCCACATCTATTAAAAAAATAAAAAAACAAAAAAACAAAAAGAAAATATTGTACGAAAATCGAAGAGTCACTAGTAGGAGAAAACATCTCTCCTACGACATGAGAAAATATTTTCCCTTGATTTAATCTAGGCATTGCTCTTTACTTTGTCCTTCCTCCCTATTTTTGCCCTATCACTAGTGATTACTCTCCATCTGAAGCACCCCTTTTCAATTCATAGAAAGATCCAATCGCCAAAATCAATAAAATGGCCATCAAGGAGAAAACATTTAATAACTTGTTTTTAAACATGATAGAGTGATTTCAATAAATTTGTTAGTTTCTCAAAAATTCAAAGATAAAAACTTTGAAATTTTTAAATAAATTTTTTATTCATATTCTTATGGATTATTTGCTTATTGAAAATTAATTTCAATTAAAAAAATTCAAATTCTAAAATAAATCAAATAAAAAATAAATCCTAAATCAAAATTAAATCTCCTAAAATAAGAAAAGATGAGATATTAATAATTAATCACGAGCCATCAACATAAAATTATAAAATTAAATAAAAATAAAAGCTTCAAGATAAAATCTAAAATATCAATTTGCACTAAATATGGACAATATAAACCATCAAATTTGGACAAAATTTGACCAAATCAACCAGTTGCATATAATTTGAAAATCTTGATCCAAAATCACTCTAAAACAATCCTAAATTTTGGGTCAAATCATTGCATCTTAACGATGTATTTTGAATCAATTCTATCACAAGTTAAATCAAATTAATGCCTATTTGTTCAAGACATGTAACACCCACACTTAAAAAAAAAAAAAAAAGCAGCCCTCACTTTCTTTCTCTTAACCAAAGATGAGCTACGTACTTTCCTCCAAAAATTTTTTTGCTCTCCATACTCTTGTGTCAAGAAGAACTCACTTCTCTCTACTTCCCCACCTCCACATCATTCAGCCATAACCTTCCTCTCCTCACTTTCACCCAACCGACCAGCCCTTCCGTAATCATCATCATCATCAATTCTTCCTCTTAAACACTTAGAGTAGCTTTTTATTTTACACTTGGGGCAGAGTTGAATTTTAAGTCAGGGGAGCTCTTGCATATGGGAGAAGCACTTGGGCTAGAGGAGAAAGAGACATGGATTGGTGAAGACAACTCTAGTGGCGGAACCAGGAATTTACATGAGGAGGGTAGGTGGATGTAGAGAATATTATTTATGCCCCTGAAATTTTTTTTAAAGAACATTTTGAATACATTAAAAAACAAAAAATATTATAGCAAACATATATATTCCGTAAATTCTTTTGGATCATGCTGCCATTCTCCCAAGCTCTCATTTGGTACGTATTCATACATAAATAAGTTTGAGTCCTCTTAACATCAATATTAAATATTAGGGCCACTTAACATCAACATCAATTTAAAATGATCCCCAAACAAAATAACCATATTATTTATGAAAACTTTGTTGTACAGATCAACAGAATAAATATTTTTATACTGATATAAGTTAGAAAGAGCAAATCTTCATGAAATTGTCGCATCTTAAATGGTTAACAAATAACAATCCATATAAATGAAAGTTAACTCAAAATAGGAGCAGGGGTCAACATCTGCAACTAATACAGACAAAGGAAGCAATATGGACATCAAATATTTAATATAATTATAGTTAAAAATTTGGAAACCCTACTTTACCATAAGTCCTAAATATTTTCCATTTTCTGACTATAAGATGAGAAGATAGCTCATATCAACTTATTGTGCAACAAAGATAACTTTTACTTAGGCTTAGGTTCATTTCTTGGCACATTTTCACATATATTATTACCTACTCAATTTATGATATTTACCAAAATGTCATTTTATATATATAAAAAATGTTCTTTAATTTTATTTTATTTTTTGGGGAGAGGGGCACCCCCAGCCCCCCTAAATCCGCCTCTGAACTCTACCAAGTGATCGTGGAGGATGATCGAACCTGGGATCAGAGTCACTATAGGTAAGTTATAAAAACTATCTTATTTTCTCTAAGATAAATTCCTTTTTATGTTGAAACATTGTATGCATGACTTTCAATGGAGTGTGTGTAAAAAGGGAAACATGGAATTAAGGGTGAGAATGAGTTCAGTAGACAACAAGCATCCTTAACATGCAAGCATTGAGCCATGCATGTGTTCTTTATCACTCAAGATTGTATAATTTGACATTGCATGCATGATCCATGGATCTTAAGAAGAGTAATATGATGCATTAGGACTGGTACCATAGGTTTTGACATTGGGTAAGGACCCTGGTAATTGCATGCAGGTAAATCCTACATTTTTGACTCTTCTTGTTGGCTTCGCACGCTGTAGCAAGGAGCTCATCAGTGAGCAGATCAGTGAGAAGACTCTCTCTCTCGTCCCTCGTTGGTGCAACTCGCTACAACGAGTAGCCCCTAATAGTCACTCTTCTCAATCCTCCTCGCTGGTGCAGCTCACTCCAATGAGAAGCCCAGCGAGAATGTCTATGACTTAAATTTTGCTATATGATACTGTCCATGCTCAAGAACAATGTTTAATTTCTTTAGTTGCTTTAATTGCTAATGCTATGATGGATAAATTGTCATTTTAGATAATCATAAACATGTACAGTTTCAAATAGACAAGTACAGTTTCAGTATGAGAATACACACACATGCACACACACACACACACACAATTATGGGCATAATGCCATACAGGTGCCATACAATTACAGTTATGAGGGACGCCTCATTCTGTTTGAGCTCAATACATCTACAAGTCGTAACGAATAGGTAGATACAATCGTTCTATATGGAACACATGCGCTATATGCGGATACATATATAGTAGCTTATCTGGGATCTAAGAGTCCACACAGTAGTTTTAGAAGACTAGTGATTTTCTATGTGTAGCTGTATGCCTGTATATGTGTGCATGTTTCTTACTTCATGAATTATATGACAGTGAAATTAATTATTAAAACAGTCAACCAGAGCACAGTTTGGAATTATAACAGAGTAAGATTAGTAGTTTTATAATTTACTGAGATTTGCATTTCATCCCTGTTAAGGATTTCCTTTTGGGACTTTTGATCAAGGAAAGTCGCCAATCTGCTCGGCTGAAATATTTATTTAATTATTTATTTTAGTGTAAAATGTCATTGGATCGGCGGGAAACTCACCTTGCTCGCACAAATGGGGCGCGGTGGGCCAGTCCATTTTTTGGCGGACTTATGATAGTACAGGACAGGCCGCTGTTTTGTCGCCTATATTAAAAATGACATAAAATTATATCATTTAAAATGATAAATACTTTTTCCTTTATAAATTAGTGTGTAAGAATATTTTCACTTATGAAAATATGTATGATAGAATGTAGCTGTGAGTTTTTTTTTTTTATTTTAGTGTAAATATTTCCACAAGACAGGGTATTAGTATTACAAGATACGTGCATTATATATATATATATTATTTTTTTAAAATACTAATTAATTTTTCAATTAAATTTTAAGTGCAAATACGTAAATAAAAGACCAAATCACCAACATCAAGGGACCGGTACTGATTGTAATTAGTTAGTCGTTAATCTATAATCTTAATTTTTTTTTGAAGAGATTTGATCTCACATAAATTAAGGGGGAAATTCTCTAGCGTCGGCTCTCTCTCTCTCTCTCTCTCTCTAAATCCAAATGATAGAAAGCAGAATTTTTTTCTAAATAAAAACAAAATCTTATAAACGAGTGGGAAAATTCATATTTGGAAGTAAGATATATAGAGAGAAAATTCATATTAGCAAAACTCATCGATCGTAGAGAGAAAAAAGATATATAGAGAGAGCGAACGAGAGTGGCCGTTTCAACGGCCACCTCCATCTCCACCACCACTCCTCCCATTCGATTTTCTCGTTTCCCTTTTCCTCCATTTTCTCGGGAAAACGGGAATCAAAAAAAAAAAAAAAAAGATCCCACCGTTTATTTTATTTTTTAATTTTAAATTGCATTCATCTAATTTTCCCTTGCTCAATTTTGTTCCCTCTCAATCCACCATTAAAACTTTCCAACTTTGGTGGGGAAAAAAAAAAAAACAGCGAAGATGCACCCGAACATCATCAACTCGATTCGTAGTATGAAGATCAAGGACAGCTGTAAGGGCACTCAGGTCTATGCTCTCAATCAATCCGCCGACGGCGGCTGCGGCGGCGGAAGTGTTGGGGAGAAACTGTTCCATCACTTACAACACCACTCCAAAAGCCAAACCGGTCGAAGCAAACCGGTTGGAAACTTGCGAGGTTCCACGTGCGACGCCGTTTTGGAGGCTCTTCTCCCTTGTGGATTTCCCTCGACGAAGCTTCTAGAACCTGTAATCGAATCTTCCCTGAAGCCCGTGGATTTTGTGGAAACCCTCGCCGGCGTTCGTCGGAGAATCGAGAATTGTGAACAACTCCAGAAATCCGACGCGTTTTTGGAGCAATGCGCGGTGTTCCGTGGTCTGCCGGATCCGAGCCTTTTCCGGCGGAGCCTCCGGTTGGCCCAGCGGAACACGGCGAACGTGCACTTCAAGGTTGTGCTGGCTTCGTGGTTGAGGTATGAGAGGAGAGAGGATGAGCTTGTGGGATCATCGTCAATGGATTGTCGTATAAGGAAACTCGAATGCCCTAAGGCTAGTTTGGTCCCTGGGTATGATCCTGAATTGGAGTTTGATCGTTGTTCGTGTTTCCTTAGAGATATTATTGTAGATTATGATAGTGATGAGGAATGTTCAACTTCTAATGAAGATGATGATGGTGGTGGTGGTGGTGCTGTTAGTGATTTGTGTTTTTGCATTGGTGATAGTGAAATTAGGTGTAGGAGATACTCTATGGCCGCACTTTCTAGGCCCTTTGAGACAATGCTGTATGGTGGATTCGTTGAGTGTAGGAGGGAGAAGATAAATTTCTCGCGGAATGGGGTTTCTGTTGAGGTAATGATGGCTGCTGAGGTTTTTAGTAGAAACAAAAGGTTGAACTTGAGTAAGTTTCCTCCCAGTGTTGTTCTGGAGATGCTTTCTTTTGCGAATAAGTTTTGTTGTGATGAGATGAAGTCTGCTTGTGATGCTCATTTGGCCTATCTGGTTAGGGACATGGATGAAGCAGTGTTGCTGATTGAGTATGGACTGGAGGAGACCGCGTATCTGCTGGTGGCGGCTTGTGTACAGGTGTTTCTGAGAGAGCTCCCTGGTTCAATGCAGCGTTCGATTGTTATGAGGTTGTTTTGTAGTCCAGAGGGTAGGGATAGATTGGCTATGGCAGGACATGTGTCCTTTGTGTTGTATTATTTTCTGAGTCAGGTTGCGATGGAGGAAGATGTGAAGTCTAACACGACGATGATGCTCTTGGAAAGATTAGGAGAGTGTGCTGTGGAAGGTTGGCAGAAGCAACTTGCTTATCACCAATTAGGTGTTGTTATGCTCGAGAGAAAGGAGTACAAAGATGCACAGCATTGGTTTGAGGCTGCTGTTGAGGCTGGACATATTTATTCTTCAGTGGGTGTTGCAAGGGCCAAATATAAGCTCGGTCACACATATTCAGCATACAAGATGATGAACTCACTTATATCTGATTATAAACCAGTTGGATGGATGTATCAGGAAAGGTCTTTGTATTGTACTGGGAAGGAGAAAATGGTGGACTTGGTCTCTGCAACTGAATTGGATCCAACTCTTACTTTTCCATACAAATACCGGGCTGTTTCTTTGCTGGAGGATAACAAGTTTGGAGCTGCCATCTCCGAAATCAATAAAGTAATTGGTTTCAAGGTTTCTCCGGACTGCCTTGAATTAAGAGCTTGGTTCTTGATTTCCATGGAGGAATACGAAGGAGCCCTCAGAGATGTCAGGGCAATTTTGACATTGGATCCAAATTATATGATGTTTCATGGGAATATGCGTGGTGATCACTTGGTAGAACTCCTCCGCCCCGTTGCTCAGCGGTGGAGTCAGGCTGATTGCTGGATGCAGTTATATGACAGATGGTCTTCTGTTGATGATATTGGTTCTTTGGCTGTTGTACACAAAATGTTAGAAAATGACCCGAGGAAAAGTATTTTACACTTTCGGCAATCTCTCCTTCTGTTACGGTAAGTGTAAGCCTTACATTAATTCATTTATAGTTTTTTAACCTCATAAATTCCTTCCAGCAAGAATTCTCTCTTAATGGCATTATTTTCTATTCGTTGTTTTACACATCTCTCTGTGAATGGTGAGGATGATTTATATCTAAATATAGCTAGATATGTTTTATTATTCTTTTTCAGTTCAAACTGAACTAAACTGCGAAAATATTTCTGCATGGAACTCATGGCTTTATTTGCTGCTAAATAGATTAGTTTGTTGTGACTTCTGACTTTGAACTATGTTAAAAACAGAGGAAATTGTTGCATGACCATCCATCAAACTAGACAAAGTAACAAAGTACTGGAGAACAGTTTTAGTTGCCACTTGCATGTTTCAGTTGATGCTATCATTTCTTGTGTATGTTGAGTTTTCTCCTCCTGTTCTTTTATCTTCTTTGGAGTTCATATTAGCATCAAGAACGAAGCATTTTATAGGATAAAAATATGCAAAAGAGCAAAAATGAAGTCGATTTGTTTACTGTTTTTGTGAAATGAGAGGTTGGAAAGTAAGCAGGGAGGAATTCTCAATCCAAAAGTCTTAGTATTTCCTATTCCATTTTCATTCTGTTGCTACTAACTAGTTACTAGGTTAGGGGATATCTCCTTTTTCCCAAGACCAAATATCTTTATCTGGATACTAGCCATGGCGAGCTCCTCCAAACATAACTTGCTTCGACATCTCTCATATCAAGAAACTGTCTTATTGAACCATTCTTCCACAACTCGAAGAATGCAACATCTCTCATATTATGAGATGTTTCCTTGCTTTATTTCAAGCTGCTATAAGTTTTGATCCATGCAATGTACTTTTAATTGTTATTTTATCCTTCTATCCTCTGCCTGTGAGATGGATGGAAGCTGATATCTCTTTTACAAGACTGGTCGAATTATGTGAGTGTATACTTTTTTGCTATTTTCTTACTTTTCAATATCCACCACAAATATTGCATGCAACGAACTCTTTCTAATTGTTGCTTGTTATGCACATAGGATATTTAATTAGTGTTTAGGTCCTTCATTATGTTTAATACCTGAGCATGACCTTGTCCATTGTAGGCGTTGATTTTTCTGAATCTTTCAGGTTAAATTCTCAAAAGGCAGCCATGCGTAGTTTGCGTCTAGCTAGAAATCATTCTTCTTCAGCACATGAAAGGCTTGTTTATGAAGGATGGATATTGTATGACACTGGTCATCGTGAAGAAGCATTAGCAAAGGCTGAGGAGTCCATTTCTATTCAAAGGTCATTTGAAGCTTTCTTTCTCAAAGCTTATGCATTAGCTGACTCAAATCTTGATTCAGAGTCTTCAAAATATGTGATCATTCTCTTGGAGGAAGCTCTTAAATGCCCTTCAGATGGTCTTCGGAAGGGACAAGTGAGTTTTATTTTGTTTTGAGATTAAACATGTTAACTTGATTTCGGTGCTGAAATAGTGAATTTATTTTTGTCATTCTTTTACGTTGTAATTGTAGGCACTAAATAATTTAGGGAGTGTATACATAGATTGTGAAAAGCTAGACCTTGCTGCTGACTGCTACAAGCATGCACTCAACATCAAGCATACACGAGCACATCAAGGGTTGGCACGGGTATATCATCTTACAAATCAGCATAAATCTGCATATGATGAGATGACAAAGCTTATAGTCAAGGCCCAGAATAATGCATCAGCTTATGAGAAGCGTTCTGAATATTGTGATCGTGACATGGCAAAGAACGATCTTAGTTTGGCAACACAGTTGGATCCTCTAAGGACTTATCCTTACAGACATAGGGCAGCAGGTAATTTCCATACAGCTAGTTATTTTATTCTTTAGTCTTGTCCTTATTTCTTTTGGGGTGTGGGGTGGGATAGGAGGGAGAATTGTTCTGATTGTATGCTATTTTTGTGTTTCAAATGTTTGTTGTGGCTGATGCTGATCCTGTTCAGTTATGCTATGATGGTTGTAATATTTCATTATGTGTTTTAACCAGCACTCTTCCTTTATGGCTATGCTGGGTTCTAGAACCACATGGTCAATTGAAGAAATAATATGACTGCGAGAATCTAATTTTGAGGAAACATTATACTTGGATATGTTTAATGATTAGGACATCCTTATCTGGGGTTCTCTTCCCCTCCAGAATTCATAACTTTCAACACAAACTTAGTTCCTTCATGTGGTTCCTTCTTTGTCTCTACATTATGACTTCTTTCTTGCCAACTATTGGGGAGTAAAATCCAACTTAAATAGTTGATCAGCCAATAAGTTACTTGCACCCTTCTGCCCAAATTGTTTGTTTGGTCTGTGTTATATAGCATGGACACTTACATTGTGATGGAACTAGAAAATTACATTGAAGTAAAATAATGGAGACAAATTCCTTACAAACACTAATTGTAGAAAAATAAACCAGAAGACCCTAGCTCACCCTTAAAACCAACGCACCTAGGTTCCAAGAGATCCCTAGTTCCCCCGAATATTCACTTAATTCATGCCTACCTCACTCCACCTATTCCCCCTCCTTTAGGAATATTCTAGAAGAATTCCATAACTAACTACTAACCCACTCACCACTTTCAGGGCCATCAATACTTCCCGTCCAAAACTCATCTTGTCCTCAAGGTAAAGAGAGAGGATAGGTAACATGAGAAAACTTTTACCTGGGTCCCATTGTTTGAAGCATCTTGACCACATAGGCAGAACCTTATCCCTGAACTTTAACAAATGGTTGGAAGTGATACCCACAATGTTGAGGACGCTTTCATCTCGTATTATTTCACTGTCAACAATTTCCCCCTGCATTTTCAGAGACTTGCTAGACGTCAATCCTACAAAGCTTTGGACGCTGAGTTATAATTTCCCCCACTCTCTGTCTCCTCGGTTCACCGTTTGCAACTCCGCTTCCTCCGACATCGCCTTAACTACTCCCAAAAACATTACGTTCAGGTTGGGCTGTTGATATACATAGTCATGTCAGTAGGGAGCGTCACACTTGTTGTCATTTGTCATCCATCTCTTTCAATGTTACTTGCCGGAAACCAGACCTTCTCTGGTTGCTGCTTGTCGTGCCGTTCCCTCCCTCTGCTGTCGACGTGTCTGGTGTTGCATGTTGTCCTTCTTTACGTGGCACTCTTTTCTGGTTGTTAGGGTTCGCACCTCCCCCACTTGCGAATGAGGACCGAGTTGGTACACTTGTTTAGGTACTATCATGTTGGGCTGTCTGGTTGTTGTCATGTTGGGCTAAGAAATTTTTTGGAACCTTGGTGCGTTGGTTCTAAGGGTGAGCTATTTTGGTTTATTTTTCTGCAATTGGTGTTTGTAAGGAGCTTGTCTCCATTATTTTACTTTAATATGATTTTCTGGCTCTATCAATTTGGTATCAGAGCATCTTCGATCCGGAGGTGCTTCTGGTCCATATTTGTCAAGAAATGAAAACCATGGAAGGACTTAGCGATTCTGAGCTCAAGGAAATGTTTTTAAAAACGGTGAAGGCTTTCGATGAAGCAATAGAGAGGATGGAAACACAAAGTTTGAAATCAAGAACAGTTTCAAACAAAAAAAAGAAATTGAAGAAAAAGAAAGAAAAAGAAGATGAAGCAGTACCTGAAAAAGAAGAAAGGAAAAATAATGAAGATGCAAAGGATGCAAAAGAAGAGCTAGGGTCTTTTGGTTTATTTTTTCTGCCTAAATTTACATATGTGCAAAATTTCTCCTCCAATGAAAGTGGTGACTGCTACTGGAGAGAAGTGTTATACATATATCAGCTATCTTCATTTACTTGTTTATGTACCTTAACTCCACTTGTTTAAGTTGGCAGCATATGTGATTAAGTTTCCTCTTATTTAATTGTAATATTGCATCAACGTGAACTTCCATCCACTCTCCCTACGTAAGCTTCTATTAGTAATTAATTAAATTCCTTGACACATCATACTGGGTAAAAGATTATGGGAAATAACATGTGGATCTTGCACACTTATCAGAGCATAAAATGAGCTTTAGGCATTGCTTTAAATGTTGAAGGAATATCATAGCACTTCAGATAGTTTACGTTTATAACATGCCTGTCAAATTACACATATCTGGAGGGTGCCATGCTGATTTTGGGCTAGTTAATCTTGTCACCAGCAATCATTGATGATGTGACAGAGAAAACAAATCTTTTGAGTGTAAGACTATTCTTGTTTGATGACCTAATTTATTAGAGCCTCGTTCGTTTTGTATGGTTTTGTTGTTTTGATATTTGGCCTTAGTTCATGCAGAAGTACTTTGTTTGCTATAACTATAAGCACCTTGACAGAGTAATGTGATAATGATTTAATCTTCAACCCTTGAAACCCGTTTGTTAAATGTGTCTTAGATTCTTAGTGTGCACAAAACTTGTTAAGTCTGACATGAATCCTCTTTCTACCAGTTTTGATGGATGATCATAAGGAAGCTGAAGCAATAGCAGAGCTTTCAAGGGCCATCAATTTTAAGCCAGATCTGCAACTGTTACATCTTCGGGCAGCATTTCATGATTCAATGGGTGATTATGTTTCTACTGTCCGAGACTGTGAAGCGGCCCTTTGTCTTGATCCTAGCCATGCTGAGACATTAGAGCTTTGTAATAAAGCACGGGAGCAAATTAATGACCGAAAGTGAGTGAATCAGAAATCAATAATCATGTTTTCTGTGTTCCTTATGGGACAAGCCTATTCTTGCCAACCAGTACTTTTTACACCTTGCAACCCAGTAATCATGAGTGCTATTTATCTATTGGGTTTTGTCTCTACAAACAGTTAGAAATATCATCTGGATTGAACCTGAAGGTGAAGTAGACGAGCAGGATAGCTTGTAAATATACGTAATGAATTATGGTTTTGTCAGCAGAGGGTTCAAGTAGTGCAGATGCTGCTGCTATTCTCCAATATGCCATGACGGCAAAAATGGTGATAACTGATAAGTTACCACAGTTTTCAACTAAACCTGTACATGAAAGTTTGTTATGCGACAGATTTTGATACTTGCAACTATTTTTGGCTGAGCAATCGCCGATTCACATTCTGTTGCAACTTGCAACTTTTTTCACTCTTATCCTTTGTGTAAACACAATTTTTCCTTGTAACTCTTTTTAACTCTGTATTTGTTATGATTTCTCTTTTGTATATGGAAGTTTAGATTAGGGGAAGATATACCCCATTACGAGGTCCGGAAAGATCATAAATTTCAATGAAAATTTACGGTGGGATTATATATTGCATACCCAGCTATGAAAGTTTTCCTTTGCACAGTTCGTCTATATATTTTTTTTGTTTGCTCTTTGGTTCTTCCCTCCCCTCGTTGTATGACTTTACGGTGGATTAGTTACCTTGTCTTAGGTTTTACATTACCTTGTCTTTCGCTAATTGAAAAGTTTAAAGACAACCATGTAAATTCTGCTGTTACTGTATATTTGACATAAATTCTTCTTCATCTTTTATATATATATATATATCTCTGCTTTCTTGCTCCTCTTCCCACGTAGAAGAGGCTTTCCAACCCACCTGTGAATTGTGACCAGCAAGATTTCGGCCGAAATATCTATATTTTCAACTGCTATTATTTATTTCGCTCAACTAGATGTCATGTCCTCTCTAGTCACAACTTTGACGAACTTTTTGTCAAGTAATTAATTATCTCACATACTCGCTCCAGTTATAGATGTTCCCATAATATGGAAGAAGAAGAAAATCTGGAAACTATGGATTTTAAACGCCCTAGAAAGTAAAACTTAAATGCACCTCTTTTATCAACAAGGCGTCTTGGTTATTCAGGAGTTGCAAATACATCTTGTTCATCAAATTCACTAGTTACCGTACATAATACGAGTGTTTCATACAAGATGAATTTGTTCATCCACTAAAAGAAGCACTTGAAGCAGATGGCGATACATCAGTGGTTCTTGCATTTGATCAAGATGATGGTAACGACAAGGATATGTGTTTTCATCTAAAAAATTTGGTTGGGTTTGATGTTTTAACTCTCAATTAATATATATATGGGCTCCATATACTTTTATGTGTGTGTAGAAGATAAATTTATCTATTTATCTCTTACAATATGAGAAATATTAAACCTTATATCCTTTTATATGTGTGTATAAAAGGTTTAATGTTTCTCATATTGTAAGAGATAAATTTTATATTCTACTCGCACATAAAAGTGGGTGAGACTTATATTTTTTTTTCTCATATCTTCACATGGTGCCAGATAGGCCCACACACTTTTATGTATATGCAAGATAATTTTATTTTATACAACATGAGAGACATAAAAGTATATATATATATATATATATATATATATATATATATATATATATATATATATATATATATAAGAGCGATATATTCTTACATCGATGTAAGAATAAGAAATCTTACACTAATTTTATGTAAATAAATAATATTCATTAAACTGCCCAATGATCATCCATGAAAAGGTGATGAAAAAAATTCTTCATCATGAAGTACTATATCTTAGTGACATTAGAGCATTTTTGTATATTACAGATAGCATTAGACCTAACATAGCATGCAGTTAATTTAATAACAAGGTTTAGTTTTACACCATTTGAAAAGACATTGGAATGTTGTTAAGCATATTCTTTGTAAAAAGATATACGTTTAATGGAGGGTAGAATGCTAATGTTGGATTTCTTTTATCATCTTAAAGTTTGGTCATGATGGGCTAGAATAGTGGGCCTAGGTCTAACCATTAGGAATAAGTCAGAGGAGAGAGAAATTATCTAACAAATTGATGAGAATAGTGGCATAGGGTGTCGAAATGTGGAAAATTTGTTGTAAACAATGCGAAAGGGAATCAATCGGGAGGAGAGGTCCTCTAAGTAGTATTTTCTTACATTTTTGCAAGGCTGCTTGCAACCATTAGAGTCTTGTGGAATCTATAATTAGTGACCGGAAGGAGCTTGTCTTCATATTTCGTTAATTCAATTTTATTTGTATTTATTAGGTTTCATCAATTTGATATCAGAGCATTTTCGATCTGGAGGTGTTTTTGATCCAGATCTTTGAGGGAGTGAAAACCATGGGAGGTCTTGGAGCTTTGGAGAAAGTCAACATGTTACAGATCATAACAATGGTGCAAAAAATGTTGGAAATTATAACATCCCCGTCTCGACCCGGTTCAATTAACACACATATGATATTAAATATGATCAGCGAAAAACTTAACTTACACAAATACGATTTAACTTTTTCTTTTTCTTTTATCCAATTCACATGATATATAGCAATAATTTATTTTTTTTATATGACAAAGACGAAAATCGGACAGCATAACGACTGTAAACCGAACAAATGGGGATTTAGAAATCCTACGTTCAAGGTTCCCTGATAAACAATTCAAATAATCCATAATTTCAGAATCTCAGATATCCATCAAGGATCAAATACTCATCCATGGGCTCGCGCATAAATTGGCTGTGCCACTAAGTCTAACAGCATGCATAACCAACACATACACATAACTGAATACTACATAATCATATGAACATGCCTGAATACACAATTGTACATGCATCAAAGCAGAAAACATGTACAAAATATATACAAAGTAACGGATCAGACATCATGAGACTCAAAACAATAGGAATACGAAAGCAATATAATAATCCTCTAAAAAATAATAGCATACTACTACCCAAGATCCGATCCATAACAACACCTCTATCTATGGGTCGTATCCTTACCCCGTGAGGGCTCACCGGCAATCCGTATACCTAAAATGATGTCCCCAAACGCGGTGAGATAACAAATCTCAATAAGCTCCAAGTTTATAGAGAAATCTCCATACCCTGGACCCACTCCTGCATGAAAGTCAGATACAAAATATACACGGCATCATATACTCAAATATCATAACTAAAATGAGCATATACACATATCTTATCAGAGATGTACACAGTCATTTCCAAGGGAGGACCCCAAGCGAAAAGAAATGCACATAACAAATATCATAACTAAACTGAGCATATACACATATCTTATCAGAGATGTACACAGTCATTCCCGAGGGAGGACCCCAAGCAAAAATCAACGCACGTAAAAAATATCATAACTAAACTGAGCATATACACATATCTTATCAGAGATGTACGCAGTCATTTCCAAGGAAGGACCCCAAGCGAAAATTAGTGCATATAAATCCATTTACGAAAATCATCACAGTAATCACATCAGACCAAAACTTATCATATCAAAGATGTACGCAGTCATTCCCAAGGGAGGATCCCAAGCGAAAATCAACGTACGTGTTTCCAAGAGAGGACCCCAAGCGAAAATTAGTGTATATAGATCCATTAGCCAAGAATCATTACATAACAGAGGTGTACACAGTCAATCCCAAGGGAGGACCCCAAGCAGAACTCAATACAACATATGATATTGAAACATATCAAAGTAAATACATCAAAACAAAACATATCATATCATCACATAGCTCTATATGAATGCATTTATACCAAGTATCAGAAGACAACATACAATACCAACCATAGTCCATTAGCCATGGTGGAGCACATAGATAAGAGAGAATTCATTAAACATAAAGCTTACCTCTTGGAGCTTTAATGATAGTCTTACTTGTCACCCAAGTCCCCTATCTTCCTCCAAAAGAATCCAAATTTTTGAAATCCCTAGGCACACCTAGAGAAAGAATTCAAAACAAAACTCAATAAAATGATATAATGCCATGTAATTCTACAAGACATACACTTTATTGATTACTTTCTTTTCCTTATCAATTCTTATGCCAATATTATGCCATTCTCATAAGTCATAATCGATTTTCTTTTAACTTAACCATATTAGACCATGGGTGGGTGGTTCTTTGTTCAACAAATTTCCACATAATTCCACGTATTCACCTAGTCTTAGGATAGTCCCAAAAGGCTTTCAGAATACTCATTATTGCTCTTAGCACCTTAAAGCCTATTTTCCCCAATTTAAGGTAGAGTGCCCATTACAAAGGAGCTATAAGATTTCTCTTTGTCTAGTGCCTAAACCCTAGCTTAGCCACCTATACAAATTATTTTACGCATAAAAGTATTCTCACTTTGCGAAACAGTATGTTCGAACGTATACCTCATTTGAAAATGGCCAAAACTCATTTTAAGGCCATACAAAGGAGCTACCTTTTTTTCTTTTTTATTTCACCAAAGTGAAGGTCCATACACTTAGAATATTATTCTACGCATAAAAGTATGCTCACTTTGCAAAATAGTAACTCCTAGCACACACCTCTTTTAAAAATGGCCATAATCACATATAAGGCCTAAAGAAAGAAGTTACTCAATTTTTTTTATCTAACCCAACCAAAAGTTTAAACATCTAATCATATAGTCCTTAGTCCATGTAAGTGCTCATTAGCACAAACAATCACTCTAAAAATATTCTTCCTTTGTAAATGGCTAAGAGGCACATAAAGGAAATCATGCTAATTTCATGATTCTAATGCTTTAGTCCATCAAATTCAAGCTTATCATATAACCATAATCATTATTAGGTAATAAAACCCCTTTTACACATTAATTCATCCATTTATGCCTCAAAACATAAGACACCACTACGCATCATTCAATTAATTCACTCAATTCATGACAACTTACATATACTCCCATTAATTTTTTTGAGCATTAAACCCTAATTTTTCACACCATGGCTGAACCTGGTGGGAGGGATTCAAGAGAATTTTTCAAATTTTAAACACATATACATGTTCATATCACATTACCACTTCATATACCACACTAATCCATCAACAATTTCAAATTTTAAACTCAAAACTTCCCCTCCAACACATGTTCATAATTACAAAACTTGAACCATGAAATATTTATCATTTTTATAATTCGTCCTTAAATATGTCTTTAATAAGGATGAAAAATAATCCATCCTTAATAGTGACGTAAAACATCTGTCCCCATTAGGGATGGAAAATAATCCACCCCTAAAAGTATGTGAGGTTCATAATTTCCTTTTCACTCTTTCCTTTTCACATGAATTCACATGGGCTGCACATACTTTTATGTACATATAATTTTATCGACTATATATAGGGTAGCAGGTTGAAAAGAAGCTTCCATGACCGACAAATATGGTTTTTCAACATCTTCAGTTAACATAATTTAAAAATATATAGCAGCTTC